TAGGAAGAAGTAATAATTACTTTCGTCTTTACTTTCTTTTATTTACTGTTACTTATTAGTTTTAAGTAAAATTAAAGTTAAGTAAGTTATTAGTTATAAGTAATAATACTATATATATATATATATATATATATATATATATATATATATATATAATGTATAATAATTGAAATGTGACTGTATTTTACAAAATACTAATCCACTAAAACACAACCAATACAGGTCACTTTTATATTATTGGATACAATAACATGAGTGCATGTGTGCCACATCATTGTAACTTCTGTATTGTTAGCCAGGCATGGCTGAAAGGTTAAATTAATAATAATAATTAATATATATAAATGTGTAATATTATGAGATTTAAGCTATTTAGTCTAATATTTATGTTTTCGTGTTATAATCTGTAGTCATTCTAGAAAGAAAAATCATAATTTATATTTATTTCCTAATTTTTTATATTGGTTATGAAATTGGTCAAATCGACCAAACCCATGCAGATATTTGTTAGTGAAAATAAGATATAGTTTTTTCTTAAGAAATGTTTGATAACTATCTGGACATTATAAGGATTTCACATGTGAAATTTGAAACTTTTCTGATGCATAAAAGTATTTTTAATCTTAAAATGAAAATTACTCTGCATGTTGGATAGGCAACATATGAAAAGAAAAAAGGTACGAGAAAAACATTGCTTTAGAAAAAAGTCAAAATTAAATATTTTATTGTTCAAAAACTAAACACTTATAGGACCTTTCATCTCAAATTTAAAAGAATTTCATCCATTAGTTTCATTTCTTTGTAAAGAACTTTCATGAGAGTAAATAGGTCATAGTCAAAGGGTTAATACATGAGTATTATTTAGCTTATATAGTGTGAAAGTTAACATAAGTTATTTTTAGAAGCAATAGTTATGGCAAGCTTGCTTATATAACTGTTTATGAATCATTTGTTGTGTAGTAAAACTGTTGTGAATTGATGTCATGTTACTCGAACCTTCTGAATTTTTCTTGTTGCTTCAATCAAGTATTGTTGAATCATATAATATCTAGTAGTGTGTAGAAAGTTCTAGATTGCTGTTGAGAGTATGTATTTATACACGTGTATAGTGCTGATTTTTAAAGTGTAATAATTGCAGACTGTATTGTAATAACAGAGTGGAGATGAATAATTTGTCTTGACAAATTGAGTTCTAAGGTGACTGAACCAACCTGTGTGGACTTTAGACAATAAAGAGAATTATTTAAAGCTTTGGATACACTGTAGTGATTAACTCTGTACTGAACATTTGCATATACGTTGAACTTGTTTCAAGATATTATTAATCCAGTTTTGTCAAATTGCATATAACTAATTTTACCTCCACTCTTTATTCTTTCCCTAGCATTTTAGTTGTTACTTGAGAAACACAGAGCTGCCAATATTTTGGAATCTGTTTGAGTTGGACTTTTAAAAAATTAAATTTTTTATCTTCTAAAGCGTTTGAGTGTGAAAACAAATCCAGTTGCATTAGTCTTTACACTCTATCAGTGAGTGTTCGTACCACTGCAAACAGCAAGTTTACCTTATATATATTACTCAGATATGTGATGCATTAAATTATAGATTATGAAGTCAACATAACATTTTCAGTTATTCACTAGTGCAAGTTCAACTGTTTCTACAAAGATTCATGGATAACAAACAAAACTGTGTTCTTGGAAACCTTTACAGGTGCCATGTTCTAAGTTATTGTTAATGATATGCTGTATATTACGATATTTTTAAATTAGATATTTTCAAATATTTGCTATTATCTCCAACTTGCTGATATTATACATTACCATCCAAATTGCATCTGACATGGGTTTTCCTCAAGTGTTACAAGTGGTATTATACCTGTCTCATGGAGATAACGCCTGTCAATGAGCCCAGCCCAAGCTAATAATACAAGTTATGTATTCCTCCTATAACTAATGAACATGGGGACTGAATTTATTAATGCACTAAATTTTACAAGATCAAAATAACTTATACAGCCTTAGTTTTAGGAAGGTGAGACAAGAGTCTTTTCTAGAACCCTTACTCTTTCTAAAGAACTACAAGCTTTCTACAAAGCAGCTACTCATACTCATGTTATATATATATATGTATCTAGATTTATTTTGTCAAAATAACATACCCTCAGCAAAGGTGAGCTCCCCAGCAAGTCAGCAGATGGTGCAACACTCTCCTCCTTTTCCACCCTACTAGATATTACTTTAGGAGCTGGGCTTTTTGGAAGAGACTTCTTTCTTTTGAAGTCTGAAAGCTGATGACCAAAGCAATGTAGGTGTCGGTATTGGGAACTACTGTGTCCTTTATTATCTAGCCAAACTTCCAATCGTTCTCTTAAAAACAAATACATAACCATAAAACATAAGTACCAAGATCATGTTTCCAAAGCAAATAGTCTAGATTTTCACTTGTAATAACAGATTTGTTTATGGTAGTAAATACTAACTTGAAGGTGTCAGGAAAAACAACCTAATATTTAATATTTACGAAGGTAAAATGTGGCAGAGAAATAATGTTAAGTTTCTACAGGTTTCTGGGAAGTACTACACAACAGTGAAAAAACTTCACTTTCATCAGCATGGACAAAATGGAAATGTTATAATTACAATTTCATACCTAGCACTTAATGAGAGAAATTCAATTTCACAGAGGCTAACATTTTCTTACACTGAAAATGTATTTCCAATAGATATTTACCTCCTTTAACACAAAGCTTTTTTGATCTTCTTTCTGTCCTTTAAGTATTGTTAAAAATGTTTGCACTCAGCACATCAGTGGTTATCCAGCATCAATTCAGTGCCATTTTTTGAACATCTATATATCATATGACTACACTGCAATTCCCGCTCAATCCTCGCTTTGAGAAAAGAAAAACATCAGCAGTGGGGAGGAAGGATGGGAAGTGTGTGAGAAGAGGAATGTACCTATCAGAAATACATTTTCAGTGTTAGAAAATGTTAACTTCCGATAAGGTCTTACCTCCTCTTACACAAAGAGCTAGAATCCCACATTGCAAAGGTGGAGGGGCTGGTTTAAGCACATAACACTGAAACCAATCAGAAAGCAACTGCCTACAATGAACGGGGGTGTTCCGAGATGAAAACAAAGTACACTTGTGGGGTACTGCACTACTTCTGGAACAGATATGCTCTTTACCCTTGAAGTATGAAATGAAACTAATACGGACAGAAAAAAGGATGTGCACAAGCGTAATTTGTTATGAGAAGTGACATACTTAGGAAAATAGAAATCCAATTAGCCATGTACATTCAAAACCTCTACCAGACAGATGAGATTCCATAACTTGCCCTCTGCATTAGGAGATTGAGGATCAAAAAAGATAAAAACAAATATATTGCAACATAAAAATATACTCATGAACCACAACTGTAAGTAAACAGATTTTCATACATCAAGCAACTAGAAATATGAAGAGGAAGTTAGCTTTCAGCCAAAACTGGATAAACTCCCAAACCCTCCATATGAGCAAGAAGTATAACAAACCAAACCTGGCATTATGGTGTCATAGCACTACCTCAACTCAGCTGTAAGAACAGGGTAATATCTGTAACCAATATTAGGAGCAGAAATCATAACACACTCAACCATAAATGCAGGGAGGAGTCATCCTGTATCCAAAATTGTGAGGAAGACAAGGAAGATTTGCTCAACTGTAGGAACAATGTATGTACATCCTGTTGTTTTTATTACAAGACAGACAAAATCTTCAAACTCAACCATAGGAGCAGGGAAAGAACCTCCTGTAACTGGAATTAATGAGAAGAGAGGCTCTACCTCACAAAACTGTAGGAACATGGAGATGACATCATGAACCTTGTATTACAAAGAGGATTCTGTGTAGGTTGGACCTGGGGAAAACATCCAGGTGAAATGGAAGGAAAGAAACCAGCTTTGCCCTCTTCTCACTGAGTGTACAATCATGAGTATGTATGGTAAATTAAATTTTTAAGCTCACTCAAGAGTAAGCCTCCATGGTCCACCATACTAGCGACTGCGAACTGGTAAGGACTCTCATGCTCCACTGGAAGAAAAAAGTGGGAAAGTAAATGTGGTGAGAAAATCCAGAGGAACATCAAACCAGATAAAGTGCAATGGGTGTTATATATATACAGGCTCTCCAGCAGTACATTATAAAAAACTAGGAGAAAACTAGGAAGCAACAGCACAAAAAACTAGGAGAAAACTAGGA